GTGTGTGTGTGTGTGTGTGTGTGTGTGTGTGTGTGTGTGTGTGTGTGTGTGTGTGTGGACTTTTTATAAAGTGTATATAATAAAATAATAAATCACGTTACCACATGGCGTGTTTTTGTGGAAAACAAGGCCCAAGTTGCCCCAGGACTGCAGTTGGTGCTCGCTCTTGATGGTGGTGAGGGCTTCAAGGTCTCTGTCCACATCTTCCTGGCCTCTGTTCTAATATTCATGTCTCTTGAGACTATTAATGGCCAGTTTTTTGGAAGGTCCTCAGATCTGCTCATGGTTTGATTCAGGTTTGCATTTTTTGACCGGCTCAGAAAAGATGTGTCTATCCTATATTTGGTGATGACTGAGCACTTAAGGTAGTGCCTGCCATGTTCCCCTGTGAAGTTTCACATCTTAACCTTTGTAGTTAACTATTGGGAAGAGACTGGAGACTGAGAGGTTTACCCACCATGTTTATTCTCTGTTCTTTAATTAGTTGTAACTGGTATGAGGGTTGCAGAACACTGATATTTGAACACCATTGGGAGCATTTTTCTTTCATTGGCATCGGAAGTGTCACCTCCCCATCTGCCACTTTAAAATTAGCCAGGTACCTAAGTTTACTAAATGGGCCAGACGGTACCTTCTTCAATCACATTTGGGAAGCATGGTGCACAAAATGAATAAAGTAGTACGACTCTGATTTGGGTTGCTGAGCATATTTGTCTCCCACTTACCTGTCACTCCCATACTGTTCAGAGTAGCACAATGTGTGGTTTGGGTGGGTGACTTAGAGGCCCTGGGTCACACTGGGCTAAGGAGCCCACCATGCTTCAAAGCTTGGGTGGGGGGAGGAGCTGGTTGCACTTTGGGTCGGTGTCTGGTAAATAAGCAGCCAGTACATGGGTTTTGAGTCCTGGCCCCACATGCTGAGTGTAGCAATTCTTTAGGTACCCCTCAAAATTTTTTACCAGTGATTACAAGTACAGTTCTGGGCACAGTTCCAGGTGTGCATCTGAATTATCTTGGTTTCAAGGATAATCTTGGAGTCCCAATTGGGTCTGATGGTGTTCACAAAATCATGCAGTTGTGAGTAGATGAGGTGTTTCTAGTCCTTTCCCTCTACCATCTGTCAGAGCAATCACTGCCTTTGTGCCATCTCGTGCTTGGTGTTCCTGAAGAACCAGGTGGACTGGTGGGAGAGGCAACCCATCCTCGCCCAACATGAAGGCAAGGCAGTGCCGGATGCTGGCGTGTCCCACACATTACAGAGCCTGTGCTGATTGGGGTGCAGATCCCCAATCAAAGGGAAGGCAGCTTCCATGTGGGAGGAAAGTCAAGTGGGAAACCAACTGTGGAGGAAACTTCAAGAGTGAAGGGGGGCTTAGAACATTTCTAAATGTTGTAAAGCCAGCAGGTGAACTTGGGTCACTTCAGAATGATTTGTGGGGATGTCTGTTGTAAAGCTTCAGTGGGTGACTGATACTAGGGATGTTGCATTGTAGCATACACAGCCGCAGTTCAGTGATGCATCCTCCTACCAGAAGATGGGATGCAGGTTGGTAAGGAAAGGCCACCCTGGGTATGTAAAGTTTCAGTCACTTCCCTCTCCATATGTTCACTTATCCCAACCCTGTTTTTCCAGCTGTCTGCATTTGCTTTCCCCATCTTTTGGGGTTGTGAGGTCCATTTGAGATAATGCCCAGAACCGGCCCTGAGAGGGGTGGATTTTCCCTGGGAAGTTCCTTGCACCATCAGCCTTCCGCCTGTAGGCGGCAGAGGCTCCTAGGGCAGCCACACGCCCTCTTCGGGGCCTCTTCCCATGCAAGGGAGGGGGAAAGCCTGGGGCTCCTGCAGAGTTGCTCAAAGGATCATCGTGTAGCAGGAAGAGAAAAGTCATGGGATTAGAGATTTTGAGTTTCTCCGGATGGTGTGTTCCCGGGCCAGCCGTCCTTTCCAGGATTCATGTGGGCCTCTGATCCCTGGTGACCCAAGGCTGACTCTGTGGCTGAAGCTGCTCCTCCTGTTCTGGGAACTCGCCTTCTGGGACTAGTGTCAAGCAGCTGTGAGGTAATGGGGGATTCAGAGCTGGCCAAGAGACATGCCTGGAAGGACGGCAGGGGGGACCCTTTCCCTCCCCATCCCCTCAACATGTGGCTCCCCTTGCCCGGATGGGCAGAGTAAAGATTCCTTACTGGAGGCTTGGTTTGTTGCCATTTAAAGGCATTTTTTGTTTTAAATCCTTATTTATAGCTATAAGAGCAATTCATACTTAGAATCCAAACAATACAAACGTATTAACTAGAAAGTAAAGGTCCTCTATTTTATTGCATCCCATAAAAGTCAGTCCTGAGGAGTGCCTGGGTGGCTCAGAAAAGCATGCATCTCTTGATCTCAGGGAGTTTGAGCCCCACGTTGGGTGTAGAGATTAATAAAAACTAATAAAAACTTGTTAAATATGCTTCTGATATTTTTTTCTATCCATATGTATAGTGTAGCTTACAGAAAACAATTTAGGGATGCCAGAGTTGGGGTCGTTTCTGCTGTAGAGTATCTCTCCCTTTGAAATGGTCACCATGGTCCCCTCCCCCCTCACCTGAACATCTCTTTGGCATCTTGTCTTTTCCCTTCCATCAGCTGACTACTGCACCACCCCCAGCTACCCCCACCCCTGCCTGCTTCCGGCCCCGCCTTCCTTCAAAGCCTTCACTACTTAGACTGTGAGTAACATATGTGGCCATTTTAGGAGGATTTTAATTTTAACTGGGTCTTAACTTTTATGCTTTACAAAAGTCCTTTAAAGCTTGTTAAACTGTGGGACCTGTAATACTCAAAACACGTAGGAAAAGGAGACCCATAATCCCAGCCCACGGCCATTTTTATTTCTGATGGTTGCCTTCCAACCCTTGAATTAATTCATCGGTGCACCCTCAGTCATGGGGATTTTTAGCCTCAGTCGGAGGGGAGAGGTCTGAGCGGTCCAAGGTGTGGGATTCCCATTGAACTTTGCTGCAGGGATTGCATGGTGGAAGGCTGCTTATGTTTCAGGAACTGTTTGTTACTGGCCTTATTTTTTTAGCTGCCATGTTGCAGATCTCCCCTGTCACTTTATAGAGTTTTTGCAGATGGAATGGAAGTTGTCCTTTCTTTACCATGGCCTCTCTACACCTCAAAGCCACAGAAGGAAATTTTCACACCCCCGATGATGAACCTAATATGAGGCAAGATTCCAGAATAGCAAGTAGAAACTGCTGCTGGGGGCGTTAGGCTAGTACCAATCATTCCTGATTCCGGCCTGATACACATGGTAATTCTTGGCATGGTTGGTGGAAGTCGCAACTCCCCATTGCCCTGTCCTGCCAGTAAGGGAGGTTTCTGCAAAGCAGTTTGCTCAGTGTGGAAACTTGGAGCCAGAGTCAGCCTTGGCGATTCCAGCTGGCTCCAGCTGTGGCTCCCAGGGCCTCTGCTCCTTGGAGCTGCTGATTGTATCACAGGAGCCCATAATTCGGTCGTGCTGGGAGGCAGGTGGCTGAGCATGTGTTTGGGGGCAGAAAAAGGGGCAGGGCGGGGAGGAAGAATACAGGAAAAGGATCCTCAGCGGGGGCAGAGGAGATGGAGCCAGGGAGCGTGAGCTAATAGGCAATGGATAAAGCCCCATTCCTTCCTTCCTTCCGTGAAGCTGATCTTGGCCTGCTCAGCAAATGCCCCAGAAGACAGGAAACCCAGTCTGGGCGGTCGCAAGGGAAATACTGGAAACGCCCGCTGTGTCCATAGGGCTTGCACAGGGTGTTTTTCTAAGGTCTGGTTTGTGTCTGCAGTGCTTTTGACCCTTTTTTGCTGTTAAAGTGCTTGTCCCACTAGGAAGGGTGGGGGTCAGGGAGCTGGCTGGATGAGACAGAGTTGGGGACAGGAGATGGAGATGGCATGTGGTGGTCTCCAAGTGTCCTTGCAGGGAAGGCAGAGGGGTGTGGGGGCTGGAGGCTGGGACAGTCCCACAGAGCCTGCCAGCCTAGCCAGGTCCTGGATGAGCTCCCACTCCTACCTTCACCCCTAACACTTTATTTTAAAACCTAAGTCCGATTATGACCCTTTCCTACGTTCCATGACTCCCCATTTGATGCAACATAAAAGCCCAAGTCATTGCCCCCACCCCGAGGAGGTGTCTTCCAAAGCTGTCCAAGACAATATTTCCAATTCCATGCATTCTTTTGTAATGTGACCTTGCCACTTCCCTGTCACAGAAATCGAATCTCCCCACACCACTCCGTTGACTCTGAGCTGGCTTCAAATTACACATTTGTAAGTCATAGAATGGGACAGAAGTGATGTGGGGAGGTAACTTTCCAGTATAGACCAGAGGAGGCGATGATCCTTGCTCACTTGGGGCCTCTCTCTCTGTGTGTCTTTATCTCTCAATTCAGCTGCCGTCTGGGGAGAAACCCAGCCTCATTTGGGAGAGACCACGGGTCCCAGCTAAGCCCATCCTTTCAATCATCCCAGCCCAAGAATCAGACAAGTCTCTGGAAGAAGTCTCTAGATTGGCAGAGTCTCAATAAAACTTTGTGTTGATGGAAGTGTTCTATGTACGTGCTCTCCACTATAGTGGCCATTAGCCACATGTCAGCTACGGTTTAGAGAGAACACGAACACACTGTTAAATTTGAATTTGAGTTAAACAGTAAATACTTCTTTGGTATGAGTATGTCTCATGCACTATTTGGGTTACACTTACATTAAGAACAGTTATTCATTGTTTACCTGAATCCAAATTTACTGGACATCCTGCATTTTTATTGGCTAGGTCTGGCACCTGGAATGTGGCTAGGGCAACTGAGGAAGCAACTTTTAAATTCTGTTTAATTTAAATTTTAATTTGAGTAGCCACATGTGCTTGGTGGCTATTGCATTGGACAGAGCATGCTAGAGGATTCCAGATCCAGTCATTCTTGTCACCTCAAGACAGTCAGGTCTCCCCGGCTGAAGCCCCAGACATTGTGTAACGGAGACAAGCCATTTCCACTAAATCTTGTCCTGAAGCATGAGATGGTGGTTGTTTCAAGCATGAAATTCGTGGTGGGTTTTGCTCTCAGCAATAGCATCGGAAATTCCCCTGACCTCTCTGACCTCCCCTCCGTAGACCCCTCCCTCATTCCACTCTAGAGAACCCCAGGCAAACTTCTGCCACAGCCCGTTTGCTTCACCTCCTCCCTGTGCTGGAATGTTCTCCCCTATATGCCCTTGGCTCATTCCCTCACCTGCTTCCAATCTTTGCTCAAAGCTTACTTTTCTTTTTTAAAAAAAAATTTTTTTAAACATTTATTTATTTTTGAGACAGAGAGACAGAGCATGAACGGGGGAGGGTCAGAGAGAGGGAGACACAGATTCTGAAACAGGCTCCAGGCTCTGAGCTGTCAGCACTGGGCCCGACGCGGGGCTCGAACTCACAAACTGCGAGATCATGACCTGAGCTGAAGTCGGCCGCTTAACCAACTGAGCCACCCAGGCGCCCCCAAAGCTTACTTTTCAATAAGGCCTTCCCTGACCGCCTTATTTAATCCCTGATTCACTTTACCTTACCGTATATAAAAATTTTTCACAAGCCTCTTCATCTTGACGCTGTGTACATAGAGCTTATTTTCCATCTATTTCTGTTCAACTGTAAGATCAAGGAGGGTAGGCTGGGCTCTTCCCCCTTAAGGTTTTCTGATGTGCCCCAGATGCCGAGAAGAGTGCCTTTTCATACAGTGGGTACTAAGTAGATATTTGTGGGATGAATGAATGTTAAGTGGATGACGGGGTGCCATCTTTCCAAATGCACCTTAAGTATGGCTATGCTGTTCACCGTGCCCAGATTCCCTGTTTGTTAAGAGTATTCATTTGGGGCACCTGGGGGGGGGCTCAGTCAGTTAAGCAGCCAACTCTTGATATTGGCTCAGGAAGTCATCTTGTGGTGGTGGGATCAAGGCCCGAATTGGGCTCTGCTGAGCGTGGAAGCTGCTTAAGATTCTTTCTCCCTCTCCTTCTGCCCCTCTCCCGCACATGCATGCCCCCCCTTTCTAAACAAATAAAATGTTCTCTAAAAAAGAGTATTCATTCAACAAACACTCCAAGCCAGGTACTGCCCTGGGACCTGGGGGTTCAGAGGTGCCCATGACAGGTGAGGGCCCTGTCCTCAAGTAGTCTTTCCATTAAGAGGGTGAGGGTCTGGGAAGATGATCCTCAAATTGCCGTTTAATTTGGTGTTGGTGACACGAACACAGGAGTTGTAGCCGCTTTCACAGGCATGGTCTTGTCTCAAGCTGTCGCCGTGGAAGATTAAAAAAAAAAAAATTTCTTTTTTAATGTTTATTCATTTTTGAGAGACAGAGAGAGACAGAGCATGAGCGGGGAAGGGGCAGAGAAAGAGGGAGACACAAAATCTGAAACAGGCTCCAGGCTCCGAGCTGTGAGCACAGAGCCCGATGTAGGGCTTGAACTCATGAACTGCGAGCGCATGACCTGAGCTGAAGTCGGATGCTCAGCCAACTGAGCCACCCAGACGCCCCTGTGGAAGATTTTTTACAATGCTGGTGCCTGGGCCCACCTCCATAGATTCTGATTTCAATGTTACGGGGTACAGCCCAAATGTTGGCAGTTTACAAAATTTACCTGGTTGTTCTGAAGTACAGGCAGGATTAGAGCCACTTGCATGTGTGAATCCTGGTTATTGTCTGTGAGCCAGTCCCATTTTACAGATGAGGAAAATGAGGCTCAGAGGCTCTGCCAGATGCCAGAGGTAGGGCGAGAGATGGTGCCTCTGGGGGTCCCTTTGTCCTCCCCCTACAGTGAGGGGACAGTGTCTGGCCAGAAGGCAGAGGCCTGGGGCTAGGGCCTCCTGGGCTTTGGAGGGACCTCTGTCCCACAGGAGGCAGATAACCACCTCCCCCAGGGCCTGTCCTCCCTCCATCCGGGCCTCTCCCCATAGCTAATCAGGCTAATGAGAAGCTCTCTGGTCCCGCCCACTCCCCCATCTGTAATTTGCTTACCGTCCTTCCCTCTAATTGTATCGCCTCCTCAGCAGTTTCCCAGGACCTGGGGTCTCCGTTTCCAGTGGGAGGCCCTCCCCTGACTTAATGAAAGGGGCTACTTTCCTGCAGCTGGCAGACTGTCCTCTGGGGGTGGGGGTGGGGGTGGGGATGGGGGGGGTGTGTGGGAATATCTGGTGGCAAACGTTTTAGAGTAGAAGGCAACAACCCGCTCCATCCACCAGTGTCACTCGGAGTACTTTTTCAGACACTTTTTGGAAACTTCACAAAATATGTAAAGGGAGCCACAGGGCTCGCCACCAGGGGAGGAGGGGCTGGGACATCTGGGTGCCCAATGTGTGGCTCCGGGTAGGTTGGGTCGTAGCCTCTCCAGTGTGACTGCTTTGTGCTGGGGTTTAACTAACTCCCCTTTTGCTCCCTTTCCTCTGGGTCTTGTTTCCCCCACCAGCCCCTGGCTCCTGCGGGAGAGGATTTTGTGACATTTTGGAACCATCCAGGCCTGGCACAGGTTGGATTCTGCCTCACTTCCCTGCGGTGGTGATGGTGGGCAAACTCCTGAGGCTCACCCCTTTCCACGTTCGTGAAGTGGGGCATCTTGACTCTGAGCACAAGAAGCGGGTCTGTTTGGTGAAGTTTTTGGCTCTCCTGCCTGTACCTTAGGGGGCATTTGGAATATCAGTCCTGGGGCGCCTGGGTGGCTCAGTTGGTTAAGTGACCGACTCTTGATTTTGGCCCAGGTCATGATCTCATGGTTCATGAGTTTGAGCCTGTGTGTAGGGCCCTGCGCTGACAGTGCGGATCCTGCTGGGATTCTCTGTCTTCCCCTCTCTCTCTGCCCCTCCCTGCTTGTGCTCTCACTCTTAAAATAAATAAATAAATATTAAAAAAAAAAAAAAAAAGGATATCAGTTCCATCTGTGATGAGGATAATTCAGGCCAGTTTGAGGGGCTGTGAGACCAAAGGAGGGAGTCCACGCCAAGCCTTTGAAGCCCAGTGCTCGACACAAAGTAAGTGCTTAATAAATGTGGCTGTTGTCACGACTGGTCCCTGCCCATCTTCTGACTGCGGGCTGTGCATGTAGACTCTGAGTCAGTGCTGTTTATACCATGAGTTTGGAGCCGTTTTCTTGGAGGCTAATTCTAGGAGTTCCGTCTCTACCGAAGAAGAGTTCCCAGAGTATAAGCGGAGGCCACAAGTCGAGACCTGCTATGGCTGGGTAGGCAGCTCCTGCGGCAGCCAGGACCCTGCTCTGCTTTTGCACAGGTGCCTTTGTGGGCCAAGTCTCTTGGCCAGGGGGGCTTGGACGATGCATGACCCAGTCGGAAGGCGGAGAGTCCCCCGCAGGAGTCCCCCAGGCCAAGCCTCGGCCTTCTCTGCTGAAGGAGCCACTAGGGAGCCATTCTTTGGTATACACCCTGGGTTATCAGTTTTCCCCATGGCCCTGGCCACCAAGGCCACCTGCAGCTGTTCCTGCACATGCAGCCTGGCCCTACCTCAGGCCCCGACTCTCTGTCCCAGTGCACGCCTGCCTGCAGCGGCCAGGAGCCACCCTCACCTGGTGAGAGGCAGGAGCTGGTGGGTCGTCACCCCTCGGTGGGATGAACTGGAGGTGGATTCCACACTGTCCCTACTCAAGACTTGGTTTCACCTTCACACCCCCTCCCAGGACTTCCCAGGGTTACTTCCCAGGCAAGGTGCCCAGCCCCCACTCTCTGTCCGCTCTTAAAGGAGCCCAGACTAAGACGAATGTTACCAGCAAACTCCACAGAGACTTGCGCTTATGACCGGCATTTTCCCTGAGGCACCCATGGGGGAGTGAGGGAGGTTGAGGTACAGGTAGGAGCAGCCTGGAGGCTGTGGGGAGCCCCGTCCTTTCCCCTCTTAGTCTCTCAAGCTCGGAGTGGAGAGGCCCCGCCAAGACCTGTTAGCCTGTTTTTTTCCTTTTCCTTTGTCCACTTTGCATTGAACAACGTTGAAGTCCATTTAATCAGGTGCTGGGGTGGCGGGTGGCTTCTTACTGAGGGGCAGGCTTCTGTCTGCACAGGACCAGGCCGGGCCCCAGAGCAGGCAGGGAGGAGGAGAGAGGTCTAAAGGTCTGAGGGAGCTCCAGGCAAGATGATGGAGGGAAAGAGGGACCAAGCAGGTAAGTGCTGAGGTCCTTTTTTACACTCCAAAGGGATTACTCAAATGCAAGGACCTCCGTGATTCAGGGGAGCAAGGATCCAGAGCAAGGCAGGCAGATGCGGGAATGCCCAGAATAAATCCACCGGGTGGTGGCCCGTGCCCAGCCAAATAGGAATCACGAGGCTGTGAGATGAACCCATTTGTTTGTCCCAGAAGCAGGTGAGCCCCTACTACATGCTGGGCACCAGGGATAGCAGTGGAGAAGATAGTATCCTTCCTGTCACAGAGCTTACACTCTACTGTGAGAGCTGGGGCAAGAGAGACAATAAACAGGGGCGCCTGGGTGGCTCAGTCAGTTGAGTGTCCAACTTGGGCTCAGGTCATGATCTCACCGTTCGTGAGTTCAAGTCTCGCGTCGGGCTCTGTGCTGACAGCTCAGAGCCTGGAGCCTGCTTTGGATTCTCTGTCTCCCTTTCTCTCTCCCCCTTGCCTGCTCACACACTCTCTCTCTCTCTCTCTCTCTCTCTCTCTCTCGAAAATAAATAAACAT